CAATTGATCCTTTTCTTTATTATATGTTGCACAGGTTATCCTCTGCTCCTCCATCTCAACTTGTTGAGACCCCTCAAACTGAGGTTTCCCAATTTTCATAAGTATAGGCTCTTCAGACTGCAATTCTACCTTCTTCTCTTCCAAAGCTTTAAACTTAATAGATGGCGATGAACATACCCCCAGGACAGAAGTATAAAAGTCTTTTGCTTGAAAAACAGTATTAAGTCTATAACGTATCCCCAGGTAGTTCACCACCATTCCAATCGGAAAATCCCATCTGAACGAAATTCGTCTCTTTTTAAGTTCATCTGCTAAAAAAGCAAACTCCTTTCTTCTTCTTAAAATTTTAGATGGGATCTCCTTTAGGATTATAACATCTTGTGAAGCAATTTGAAATCTCTTCTTATAAAAAGCTTGTATAATTTCATTGCGCAGGGATCTTTTCCCAAAGTAAATTACCACATCTCTTGGCAAATTCTTTTTCACTGCCACCACAGAATTAACTCTAAATAATTTTTCAATTTCACCAAGTATTTCCTCTTTTTCTTTATTCAAAATCACAGCAAAGTCCTTTGCAACCATCTCTCTCAGATCTCCTTGCAAAGACTCTCCCAAGCCTCTAATTCTTAGGGCATATTCCATTTGTCCATATTGAAGCATAAGAATCTCATTTTCCATTTCTTTTTCCATACTTTCAAATTTTCCCTCCATCAATTCCACTTTTCCAGCTACTTCTTCCACACGGGAGTTCAGCTTTTCAAGAACAGAGGCAACTCCTTTTAAAACCAAAACTATCTCCTGCCTCAAAATCTTATTATTTTCCTCTAAAATCTCTTTCATTTCTACCCTAATTTGAGATATAACATTTCCCATCATATCTTGCAAATCCTTCACAGTTATTGGCTGAACCAAGGAAGAGGGTGAGGCTATTGATTTGGATTGTTGCACTGATGATAAGACCGAAGAAGAAGCCACTTTAGGAACTGTAGGAGTCCCTAAACGCTTTGGAGCCATCTTGCAAAAAAAAATCTTTACTCCTTCTTAAAAATTACAAAAATTAAACAGAAAAAAAGAAAGGTTAAATCCCCCCCAAAAAATTCAAAAAAATCCTTCAAAAGGAGATCATTATAACGAAAAAAAAATACTAAACCCTTTAGAGCCTTCTTAAAAAAAATCTTTACTCCTTCTTAAAAAAAATACAAAAAACAAAACAAAAAAGTTAAACAAAAATAATAATATTTCTCCAGACCCAACATCAAAATCAAATCCACATTCCGTTCCAATCATTAAAAAAAAAGGGTGGGGGAAAGGATAGAGAAAAACACCTAAAGGCTTGCCAATCATCATTTTACTTTCCCTTTCAACAAAAGGGAAAAAAAATAAAAAGAAGGAATATAAAAATAAAAATAAATCTTTAAGCTAAAAATCCAAATAAAATCAAAGGGAATTAAAAAAAGTCCATTCCATTTTTTTTTAAAAAATATAAAAAACAAAACAAAAAAGTTAAACAAAAATAATAATGCTTCTAAAATCCAAAAAAGCCGATCGCCATTTTATTTTCCCTTTCAACAAAAAAAAGAAAATTAAAACATCCATTCCAATCATTAAAAAGAAAAAGAAAAAAGAAAAAGGGAAGGAAAAACTCCAGAAAGCCTGCCAATCGCTATTCTACCTTCCCAAAGGGAAAAAAGAAAAGGAAAAAAAAAGAACGCCGAAAAGCCTGCCGATCGCCATTTTACTTTCCCTTTCGTCAAAAATTAAAAAGTGGGAATATAAACATAAAAGTAAGTCTTTAAACTTAAAATCCAAGTAAAATCAAAGAAAACAAAAGCTAAATCCTCTAGTCAACTCTGTCCGCTTCTAAGAAAAACTCACCAGATCTCTTTAATCGCGGAGGTGGTTGCAACGGCTTGTTTTGTCCCTAGGGACAAAAGCAGCTGGGAAGCGGAGACAGTCTGAACTCCGTGGGAGCACTCTTTTCACCCCCCCCAAAAATATTGGGGGTGCATAAGAGGCTCTAACACTATTCAGACAACCCTCTTCCCCCCCCCTTTGCCCGGGAGGGGGATTTTGAACCGCTGAACAGCTGATGTCCGCTGTTCATAGCGATTCAATACATTTACCCAGGAGGATGGCTACAAGGTAGCCGCCATCGCCCACGCTGATCCACCGGAAGTCAGAACATCAAGATTCTTGATCGGTTTGAAGAACTTAAAACATAAAGGTCCCTTAGACCAAAATACGTACAACACACCAGTAAACTTTGATTCCCCCCCCCCTTTCTACTGGACATTTGCTGCTATGAAATTAGCCATTGTTAGTTCTACACACACACACCCGTCCTCAATTCACTAGTTTAGCTGATGGAATATAAGTTACTTATACGGTATCGAAGTAGATCATGTCTTTAATGATAAACATCTAGATCTGGACTTTATATATTATGAACATGTACTGATTACTTCATGTTTAATAATAAACTAATAGCTCTATTTAGATGTTATAATAAATTATGGTTGTGACAATAAATACAACAAATTATGGTTGTGATAATAAATCACACGAACCTTCAGTTTACACATTTTCCCTGGCATTCCTCCTTCTCTACTTACGGGTTCTAAGCTGGCATACCTGGCTAGTGTTAAACAGCTCAATAAAAATGTTGACTTAATATTAGCAGCTGCAACCCCCCTCCATATATATTTCATGTGTAACCACATTTCAATGTTACGTGTATTTTTGTTGCTTCATCTCAAAAAATAAACTGCAGTGCTAGCAATATTATGAAAATATGCAATCAAAAGATTATTGTTTTAACAAAAAAAGGTTACAAAACATAGATCTTTAGTTCAGGCAAAAACAAGTAAGAGACAAATATAATAGAACTGAGTATTTTCTTATTGTTTCTTATTTCAGAGATAATTCCTTACTTAAACAGAAAAATAGAATGACCACAGGTAGGCAAAAAAGCAAAGGAGTGGAAGCAACTTCTGACTTTCTGATGGCTTCTCCATTGAGTTTTCTTGTGGGCAATGCTTAGGGAGCATCAGAAAACTTCTTTCCTTCCTTCACTTTACCCTCCCTTCCTAGAATTCCTGCTGCTTTCCCCATTTGCTTTGCTGGTGGGAAGCTTGCAAAAAGAAATCACCAGGGAAACCAGCAGAAAGTTGCAAATCCAAAACTAGCAGACAGGGGGTGCAGGTCAGGAATGGTACATGGGGGTGCCTGAGAGATGCCACATGGGTTGCGAGGGCATGTGGATAGACAGTGTAGATTAGGAGGGGTGTTCAGGGGTGTGCGAGAAGTGCTCAAGAAGGGGTGGGGGTCATGAGAAGTGCATGGGGAGCAACATAGATTGGGAGAAGCATACTGAGCACAACTGCAGCCAGTAGCACTGATGTAGCCACATTCATTCCCTTGTGAGTCATGATTTGGCTTATTTGATAACTGAATTTTATCTTAAGAATAGCAAGAATATTGTTTATATATCACTTCTATATTAAATTTAATCTAAATCATTTTTAGTGATGATGTACTGGTGAATTGAATTTTTTCCTAGCATGATTTTTCATTTATTAAATGTGTAAAATTTGATGACCATAAGCAATAATGCCAGCTGCATGTGTAATTTGAATGCATCACACCGTTCATTCTTAGTCTCAATCTTAAAAAACAATCAAATGAATAAAAATGTACAAAAACAATATGTGTAGAAGCCTGCCTGTTTTCTGTGCAAAACATGACCATATGGCCATTTATATGCCTAAATTCCTATAAATAATTTGAGATTTTTTTTTTAGTTACTGTGCTTCTTGAAGAAAGCAAAACAAAACTTGCAAGGAAACAAGCATATAAACTACAAAGAGAAGATCAAATTGTATATAATACACTGACATATAATTCCTATAATTATCAAGTTTCCAGTCCTGCAAATGTATGGCATTTTTCCACAAGGGATTTGCATAATTCCAATAATGGCCTTCCTGGCCATTTCTATACAGTGTAGCTGTAAAATGTACTACAACATTATAACTGTTTACAGTTCTATGATTTGCAAAATATGCAACAAACAAATAATCCAGGATCCTATATATGAAAAATTAAATATTTCCACTGGCATTTAGAACTTTTAATATGACACTTAAAACAACTACATTTTTTTAATCAGGCTTTCACAAAAGACTGAAAAAAATTGGGCTGCTTTAATAAACAATATAGGCCTTCAGAACAATTTGAAGAGTATATAGCTCTAGTATCTATTTATTATAGCATGTATTTGTTATGCTCTATGAGATTTGATTTCCATGAGTGGAAAGACAGGATTGTGCTGATACTGGTAGGTTTCTGTAGATATTTATGAGTTGAGGAAAAATGATAAGAACGTGCATGTCTGATCCAATACAGTCCTTATGTTTCTGTAACTTTTTGGAGCAGTGAGTGTTCATGTAACTAAGCACTGTCCATCTCATTTTTCTTAAGAGCACTTAAAAAGATCTGTGAAGGGTGTTCTTAAGATGATCCTGCTGTCATTTACTTCCCTCAAGCACACAAGATGAACTACCCTCTTTGTCATATATAAATCTATTTTACAATAATTACATATGGCTGCCAATTTCATTCCTATTTTCCTTAACTGCCTAAGGGTCTTCTATTCTCAAACAATTCTACATTTTCTGTTTTGTTTTCCTTTATGCCTCAAATTCCTTCCAACTGTTCCTTTTCTTTGAAATCTCTTCCAAAGATCAGTATCATTTCTTTAGTAGAGCCTGAAACTCTTAATGATTCATCAATGATTAGCTATTTTTGTGCTTCCATTGCCTCTTCCATCCCTTCTTTTTCCCTGCTGTTTTGTTGTTATTAGCTGTATCACAATAAAAAAAATCAAATACCAATGCAGTCTTATTCATTTTTATCAACATCATTTGAGAATGGAAACCATTTCAGACACAGTAAATAAATCTATATAAAGATAATTATGATGTATTCTTAACCTCACTTACCTAAAACTTCATCCCACAAGAATATAGAGTTCCACTAGAATGAATGAAGAATAAATTTGATTTGTTAATTCAACTAGATTGGGGCTCATCTTAATCTTTTCATTAATCTTATCTGGACTTCCAAAAAAACCCAGTATCTTATTTATGTATTTTTTATATTTTACTCTGTTTACTCTGCAAGATTAGAAAACTAAGCAATAGAGCAGTACATTTTAGATAACTGGTATCAGTCAAAATGCTTGCTTAGTTCAAAGCTTTTAAAATGTAACACAATTTAAAATATTATTTTCTCTGATTTTAATCCCATTTTATTAAGACTAAATTTATTAAGATTTGCTGCATGGATGTACTACTCATGAGCACTGTTAAAATTGGAAGGAGAGATGGGAGATCTTCTTTCTTCATGCTGTGCTTCTTGGAGACCAGCTTTGGAGAGCTGAAGCCCTCTCAGCAACATCTGAGGCATCCCAGGGAGAATTGGTAGAAAACAAAATATATTTATTTACTAGCAAATAATTGCCAATGGATCTTAGTCAATCCCATATAGGCATTTCTGGATTATAATAACATAAATTACAAATGTATGATGGGCATTATTGGCGAAATATCTTTTTCTGCTTGAATAGTTACAAGTGGCAATAATATTTAGGTGATAAGGCAGCATATTTGTAAATCAACTGAATTTACTTTCATATAAACAGCTAAACAGTTCTTAGAGATCAGCCAGAATAGCACTTCAAATCTACATTTGTTTTAAATTAGACCTTTTCTAACTACCCTTACCATAAAATTTGCTTCTTTATAGCTGCTGCGTACTGTGCAGATTATTTCACTGAACTATTCCATGATCTAAAGATCTGCTTCTTGGTTGGCTTGTGACAGTTCAGTTCCCAACATTTTATAAATAAAGCATGGATTCCTAGCTTCAGTACACAACACACTTTCTGACATTGACTTGCATTTGCCATTTAGTGGTCCTGTCACTAAATTTGAAGAGATACCTTTAAGAAAACTCAAAATAGCTACTCTAGTGGTACCCAGAACATCTATTTTAATTATAGAATTCATGCCATCTATTCAGATACATACATTTGTCCCTTAGACACATATAAAATTATATTCAGATTTATAATTCATCTCAAAAGATATATAATAAAAGTTCTTGATGTCTACTCTAAAGTCATGAATTTCTCCAAAGAGTTAATATGATATTAATGTTTTAAGAATAAAATATTCTATTAGAAATATCCCCCAACTTCTATGATGTACAAAGAACAGAGTGAATTAAAATGAAAATCAGCAGTAAAGATATTATAGTTAAAGCATTTGAAAACATTAGATAACGATGAAACACCACAACAGCTAAATGGTTTCATAGTTACTCAAACAAAGGAACACTTGAATAAATGAAAATTGACAAGACTATTTGTTTTAAAGTTTTTTAGCAAGACCTTGTACAGAGTTGCATATAGAAATTAATAGGCCCACACATTAGAATGTTCACATTATTTGTTACGAGGGGGACAATAAAGGAAAAAGCAATCACTTCATATACTAATTATTTTAACAATTCCAGTCTACAAAAAATTGTGTTTTCCTTCCATTGCATTTCCTTGATCCTCACGAAGCATGAACTTATTAAACTGCTATGTCAGACACCTATATTCTTACCAAAAATGTTTGGAATTTCTCACTTTCAGAGTGAAGCCTAAATAAACATATATCCTCTGAACATATATTACTTTTTCCTTCAAAATAATGCAATTAATTAACAGCAATGTCTTTTAATCTTTAAATTTAGAGTAGTCATGAAGATGTTGTAGTCTCTAAATTATTTTTATATTGTTGTTGTTGTTAGTTGCGAAGTCATGTCCGACCCATTGCGACCCCATGACAACGTTCCTCCAGGTCTTCCTGTCCTCTACCATCTTCTGGAGTCCATTTAAGCTCACTCCTACTGCTTCAGTGACTCCATCCAGCCACCTCATTCTCTGTCGTCCCCTTCTTCTATTGCCCTCAATTTTTCCCAGCATTAGGCCCTTCTCCAGTGAGTCCTTCCTTCTCATTAGGTGGCCAAAGTATTTGAGTTTCAGCTTCAGGATCTGGCCTTCTAAAGAGCAGTCGGGGTTGATCTCTTCTAGGACTGACCGATTTGAACGCCTTTCAGTCCAAAGAACTTGTAGGAGTCTTCTCCAGCACCATAATTCAAAGGCCTCAATTCTTTGTTGCTCAGCCTTTCTTATGGTCCAACTTTCACATCCATACATTGCAATTGGGAAAACCATGGCCTTGACTATACGCATTTTTGTTCGCAGGGTGATGTCTCTGCTTTTTAGTATGCTGTCTATTTTTATATTAGGAAGGTAAAATACTGTAATCAGAAATAGGTCTTTACTGATCACTGGACTATAGGCATCCATAATCTTGCTGCTTTTGTCAAAATGATGCTCTTTCTTACTGCTACTCTACCCTCCTGCCTGAGACCTCACTGCACCAGATAGACCATGTATTGATCTACACTAACAGGCTGGTTTTTACCTGATTTATCACAAAATAAGATTTTATCCCACCCACTGCATTTGTAAGTACAGGTAGTCCTTGTTTACCAACTGCTTCATACAGCAACCATTTCCATTACAATAGTGATGAAAAAAAGCAACTAATCCTTGTATTTATTACCCTTGCAGGTCTGTAAAGCAAAGGAAAGCTGAAGTAATATCATAAGCAGAGTTGTGATTTCATTTACCGACTGCTTCACTTAACAATTGAGTTGCCAGTCCCAATTGCAGTCACTAAGCAAGTACTATCTATACTCCAAAGACACTCGCTTTTTTTCTTACATGTTTTGAAATCTAACAATAAAGGTATTAGTTAAATTAGACTGACTTCATTTTGAAAGGAAATTTGTTTCTCACATTCTCCTGTTGTTGCTTTTATTCCCTTTCAACTCTTGTTTTCTTTTTAAATTCCCCATTTAAACGTCTACATTTCAGCAAAGTGTTGCATAGGTTGTTTTAATATTGTGATTCAACCACTGATTTTTTTCTATTAAAGCAACAGGTATTGAAAAAATATTATAATTCTCCTAGTTGGGATTTCACCACATATTACAGCACACATAATGAATTATTCCAAATGAATGGTCTCTCCAGTGATGGCTTTGGGAAAGACTGAGTCCTCCACTCAAAAGAATGAGCAGGATATCTCTGAAATACAATTGGGCTTAATTACAATAGATATTGTGAAATGCATTTCCTCAAATGTATGGTTTTTCTAATATCCATGAATGTGATTTTAAAATACAATCTCTCACTAAAACACTTCTCATAATTGTTATACACTATCAGACATTGTTCATCATGCAAAGCAATCAGAGACTGAATCCTGGATCTTTTTTTATGTGGAAATATAGTTATCAACAAGTTTCTAAAACATAGGAAGTATGTTAATAAATTAGATTACTTATATGAGATTCTTATTATCTTATTCTGACTGGCAGCCAATCTACAGAACTTAGCCTTAGGGTTCTTTTTCAAAATTCTTTTAAAAAATCCTTTTAACTGGAGATGCCAATAAAAAAACCCAAGACTTTCACATGTGAATTGCTTATTGTGCCACTAAGTACACTCCCTTCCATTTTCAGCACCAGATGCCAACTTTTAAGAAAAGAAGATTTTGTGTTTGCCTAAAAATGTGGCAAAATAAATAAACAATAAAATAGAAACAGTAGTTTGAATGCTTGGAACATAAGACTGATCTGGATGTAGTCATTGCCATGGCACTGTAGAAGTCATGTGCCTTGATACTTAAAAAAGCAAAATTCTATTAATCTATTACAAGGAGTCCTTGACTTATAACCCTAGCTGAATCTGGAATTAGGATTGTTAAATGGTGGTTGTAAAGTGGATTGCCGTTGACCTGACTCAACTTTCCCAGGTGCAGTTGTTCAATGACTGTGTGGGTCGTTCGTTATGAGGATAGAGCAAAAGAACTGCCTGCCAAAGAAGGCTGGCAGCTCCCCTGTGTGCAGAATAGAACTACAGTGCTCGGTTGGAGAAAAAAGAAGCTTGGATTGTTGTGCTCCAAGCTTTCTTAATCCAGCCCAGTGCTTCAGTTCCTCTTCTGCTTGCTGGAGAGATTCTGCTCCAAAAACAATCCATCGGGCAGCATTTTTGCTCTCAGACCAGCTGGGTGAAAAAGGTCCCTTGCAGGGGACTTTTGCCCAACCTGTTTGAGAGCAAAAGTGCTGCCTGACAGAAAGACATGTGAGACAGAATCTCTCTACCAAGCAGTGGTCTCTTGAAGGCTGGCTGAAAAATGTCTGTCCTGAAATCCAAGGAAAATCCAGTTTGCGACCTTCCCTGCCAGCTTCTCTGCTCTTTCTGGTTAAGCCAGTGGGGAAGATCATAGATAGCGATCACTTTATCTCAGGGCACCCAAAATGTCCAGAACACATTCAATTAACTGTGGGGGCGCTGCAATAGTTGTACATTTGTGTGAGGGTCCCTTTGTTCAGGCCTGTCATAATTGCAAATGGTCACTGAATGAATGGTTGTTAAATGAGGGCTACCTATATAATATGCTCTGTAATTTTTATATGATGGGATGGGGGATTCTAAATACTACTTAATATATAAATAAATAAAATGCATCCTCTTGGATTCTTTCACAAAGCCTTACCTAACATTGAAAAATCACCGATTGTCTTTGATTTACAATCACAAAAGGGAGCAGCATTTCCATTGTCGAGCAAGGCAGTTGTTAAGTGAATTGAACCTAACTTTATGACTTTTGCCAGAGTTGTTTAGCAAATCACTGCGCACAGTGAATCACACAGTTGTTAAGTGAATCTGTCTCTCCCCCCCACACACATACACTAACTTTGCTTGTCAGAAGCTAGGTGGTAAGATCACGCAAATAGTGATCATATGACTCCAGGATGCTACAACCATTGTAAATACATGCCAAGTGCATGAATTTTGATCATGTGACCATAGGAATGCTGTGAGGGTTGTAAGTGTGAAGACTAGTTGTAAATCACTTTTTTTCAGTGCCACTGTAACTGTGAATGGTTGCTAAATGAATGGTTGTTGAGGACTACCTGAATCACAGAAGTTTCTTGTGGGAGGAGTTAAGGTAAAAATGAATTCCACTGTTTCAGTGGACACCTCTATGAATCTGAGACACTCTGCAGAAATATACATTTCTGTAAGAAGCTAATTATTAACATGTTTTTAAATATTTGTACTAAGAACTTAAATAGTTTTTCATATTGAGAAACAATAGTGTAAAGGTGTTTCAAAATGGAGTAAAGATATTCATTTCAGATAGTTAATACATAAAATCATGAATACAATAAAAATATTCATGAAAGAAATAAAGTTTTCATAAATAGGGGAAATATCAAGCCTTTTCTTCTAGAATTTTTGAAAATTGGGAAGGGGGGGAAATGAAGTTGTTTTTTAAAAGAATACTTTGATAATACTTTGTCACCATTAATGGGACTTGTGCTCATTTTAGCAGCACATAATATTAAAATTTGAATAATACCATTAATGGGAACTAATGTATTATGCATATTTTATAAATAATCATGTTTGAAACTTGGGAGATTTAACAGCTGTGTAATAACTTTGTGATTTCACATTTGTCTATGGCCTTAATTTTGGCAAAAATAATTCCCTACTGATATTAATAGTAAGTGACAATAAGCTATTGTAGAAAAATTACTCCTTTAAAAATATACCAGATATTTTTCTGCTATTATACTGTACCGTTAACATCCATGGACATTTCATATTATGTATTTCAATATCTAGAGATGAAAAAAATGATTTTTTTCTTAACATTATTTAAAAGAAACAACAGTATTTTTGTACTTACCATTCCATGATTCAGCCAAGTTGGTATAAAATTATCAAGGAGCTTGGGGTAAACAAGTTCTCTGTCATAGATATAGATGCTCCAAAACATTAGCACAACAAACTGGGGCAAAGAGAAAAGAATACATATATATGTATATAAAGTCATATTTTTACTGTAAGAATTACATTTTATCAGTATCAACCATCAACCAGTTACTACTGTTCTGTTGTGTGTACTTTTAATGTACAAACTAGTTTAAATCTAGGTTGACTAGCTTATAGGTATATGTAAGTAATCTTCACTTAGCAATGGTAATTGGACTGGCAACTCCATTATTAAGGACGACTGTAGTTGCAGCAATTTTAGTTGTCATTGTTAAATTAATTCCACATGGCTGCTAGGGCATTACATCACATGACCTCCATTTGCAACCTCCTGCCAGCTTCTCAATTGACTTTGCTTGCTGGAAGCTTGCACTAAAAATTGCTAGTGGTGATCATGTGACTGAAGGATGATACAATTGTTATAACTGTGAGCCAGTTGTCAAATATCTGAATCACTATCATGATTGCGATAACTGCAACGATAAGGACTGGTTTTAAGTCTCCTTGTTCAGTGATGTGGTAAATTTGAATGACTGCTGAATGGATGGTCACTTTCTTCAGTGTTGTCGTAACCTTGCATGGTCATTAAAATAAATGGTCATAAATCGAGGGTTATCTGTATTCATTATTATACTACGATCTATATTGTATGCAATTAGAGTAATATTCTGGATTACAGTAGTTTCCTCTAAACCACAAATAACCTATTAGATTTGGTGCATTAGTGTCATGTATGAACTAACTGAATCTTAGCAGATTCATCCCTCTAAACAGAAATACTTTAAGTACCGAATCATACTATACCAGTATCACAGTTTATCCTTGCTCAATGCAGTTTATACTCAGAGTAGCCATGAACAATGAGCCTGGGAAATATGTGAACCCTATGTATTCTAATGTAAGATGCTGAGTTGCATACTTGAGATATGTTTGATAGCAGCACACTAACTATAAAGATTTATAAAACAATGCTGGACATAGTACAGATAATCATTGACTGATAATGGAATTGGGATTGGAATTTCTGTTGTTAAGCAATTGAGTCTGCTTAGCAATGGCAATCATGTTGCCATCATTAGTATCATTAGGTGAGGCAACTTCCTGCTGGCAACCTGCAATCAAAGTCTGTGGAGAAGCCTGGAGGAAGTTGCAAGTCCCAGGCCAAGGTGTATAAGAGGCATGGATGGCATGGTTAGGATTCACAAAAGTGCGAGGGGGAAACAAGAAAGGCATGGTGTAGTTTGAAGAGTGTGTGCACGGGTGCGTATGAGGTATAGTGAGGGTCCAGAAGGGTGTGAAAGACGTATGGCATGAGTCACGGAAGAGAAAGCGCATGAAGATGCAAGAAGGTGAATGAGAGGTGCTACGCATATCAGGGAGGGTATGCAGTGATGCACAAGAATATGCGACAGGCACTACACAGATCAAGGAGGATATGCATGGCACAGATCAGAGAGGGTGCACAAGGGTGTGCACGAAAGGGGCTGTGTGGGTTAGGGAGGGTGGGTAGGGTTATGTGGGTGGCTAGGACAATATGTGTGCAGAGGACCTGGAGAGGGTGTGTTGGTTGGGGAGATTTAACCCTGCCGATTGTGACTTTCCCTGTCAAGACTCCCAGATAGATAAGGATTTTGGCTTATTTTTCCAAAATTCAGTCTTAACATTTGAGGGTTTTCTAGTTTCAACTACTGAACAACCTCTAGGTTTTCTGTGGACTTTAGATCCAGAGTCTGATTTGGTCATTCTAAAACGCTGAATTTGTTCTTCTCCTGTTCTCTTGCAGCTTTGCGTGTAGGTCTGGAATCAGTGCACGGCTTATTTATGCTTTCGCTTATGATTGGTTAGCTGATATTAGGAAAGTTTACGCTCTAAGCCAGAAATCCATTTAAGAGCTGATGCAGATGCACATATGCCACACTTGTCATACTTTCCTAAAAAAGCTAAAGCTAAAAAAGCTGTGCCTTTTCGTGCCTTGCACAGTAACTCTATGATCCTAGGAAAGTAGGTGTTTGAATTATTGCATCCTTAAATCAAAAGTATATTTTCCTGTGATCAAGTCAAAACTGTGAGAGCATAAGAAGAGAGGAAGCTTCTTTAAGGAGGTGATGACAAATGTGAAGGCATACCAACACAAACTTTAAAATACAGCAGATCACTACTTAATATTATCCTGTGGAATTTTCTACAATAAAGCAGAATTCATGATTTCTTTAATGATGGCAGGTTACACCAGTCCTGAGGCAGCAAAGCATATTCCATATACCATGACAATATTACTTCCATGCCTAGCAGCTGGTACCTTTTTATTGCAATACTTGGTTTCTGCCAGACATAATGACACCTGTATAGTCTGAATGGTTCTACTTTTGATTCTGGAACATTAATCCCAAAAATTGGAGGATGGGGTCATCTATTTGCTTTATGGCAAACTACCGAATAGTATCCATGTTGTCATTAGTGAGCCATGGCTTCCACTTGCTATTTTCCCATGAATCTTATTTTTAATTAGTGTTCTTCTGATGATAGTGCAAATCAAATGCACAACCTAGTTAATCAGTTAACCGTGAAAATTCCTGAATGTTTTCCTGGGCTTCTTTATGACTTCTTGGTGACTGGAAAAATTTGGTAGCTCTTGGAGTGATTTTGATCACACAATCCATTTCAAGATTGTGTCTCTTAATTCTGTATCAATGAAATCTAATCCAGATCTTTAGAAATTGTTTTGTAAATATTTCCAGGCGCATTGCTTTTTTACAGAGTTCTACAGATATTTCAGTGGGATGTTGTGTTCCTCTAGATTCTAGAACATAACTTATGATGTAAGGAGGCAAAATTCAAGAGATTTGTATAGGACTAGGCTGACTCAAATCAGCTCTGTTTTAAGAGGAACTCACACAACTGATTTTGGCTATCTCTGTAACTGAATTAACTAAGCTAGGTGATTGATTACTTTTCATATTTATGTATTACACATTGGATGGAGTAAGTGAAACTAGCACCAAACTTTGGTAATATTTAGTCACCCAGACTCCTGTTATACATCACTTGGGCCCACATGAGGATTTAACAGTGAAGATCATATTAAACAAAAGCATTAAAAAAAAACCTCCAGTGCTAGATTTCAAAAAGTAAATGTGATATTAATGAATGATTTTAAAAAGCTTGCATGCATTTGAATATTTTGTGAAGCACAGAAAGCTTACTGACCTTGCCAATGAAGTAAAAGTGGAAAAGACAGGAATTTCCATCTGTCCCTAAATAAAGTCAGCCAATGAATGCAACATTGGTTGCAACCATCTGGTGCTCCAGGTGGCAAGAACTTCTTTAATGAAACAGGTAGGTTCAAAAAGACATGCTTAAGCAAATGATTCTAATTTTAGTCAAGTTGCCCAATCAACATTTCTTAAAACTCAACAACATCCAATTGCCTAAAAGGGGCGTTGACTTACCTGAACGCCTTTTCTCAGCACGGAGATGGATAATCCACACAGTGGGTTGAGACTGTATTCCTGGCCAATCAGATCAGTCAGCCAAAGTTGCCACGCCCCGTCTTGGACCATGATCCTTAGTCTTGACTCGAGCGCAGCCATTGACTAACAGTAAGACGTTTTGGCTCCACTAAATATACCCTATTATCCTAGTCTATAAGGGTGGGTGTGGATTATCCATCTCTGTGCTGAGAAAAGGCGTTCAGGTAAGTCAACGCCCCTTCTCCAGCACTGGAGATGGATAATCCACGCAGTGGGACATACCAAAGCCTATTGTCCCCTGGGTTGGGGAATAGACTGGTCCCGTGTGCAACTTTGGTCTAGAACCTGCTGGAGAACCCTCCTACCGAAGGAGGCCTCTGCAGAGGAGTACTTGTCGATTTTGTAATGATGAATGAATGGAGAGGGCGAGGCCCAAGTGGCTGCCCTGCATACCTCTTCAATAGAAGCCTGCATGGCCCATGCTGCTGAGGTGGCAGCACTCCTTGTGGAATGGGCCGTGATATGCTTGGGGACTTGCAAGGACTCCGCCTGGTATGCCCCAGTGATGCATGCCCTAATCCACCTACCGATGGTAGAGGACGAGACCTTCCGGCCCCTAGTAGCGGGGTGGAAGGATATGAAAAGCGCTTCCGAGCGTCGGAATTCCACTGTGCGCGAAATGTAATGTCTTAGTGCCCTTCGTACGTCCAAGGTGTGCCATTGTTGCTCCAGGGGATGAGCTGGGTTTGGACAGAAGTCTGGTAGGACTATTTCCTGTGATCTGTGAAAAAGGGAGTTGACCTTTGGAATGAATGAAGGGTCTATTCTTAGGACTACCTTGTCCTTGTGAAAATGGCACAGGTCCTTCCTCATTGAGAGAGAAGCTAACTCGGATATCCGCCGAGCTGACGTGATGGCTACCAAGAATGCTACCTTATGGGTCAGATAGCGAATGTCACATGTTTTGAGTGGTTCGAAGGGCGCTCTGGTAAGAGCTTGTAGTACTCGTGGTAGTTCCCACGATGGATACCTGTGCACGGTTGGCGGTCTGATGTTCGCAGCCCCCTTGAGGAAGGATCGTATTAAGGGATGCTTGCCCAAGGATTCACCGGGGCTGGCAGAAAGTATAGTTGAGAGGGCGGCGATTTGCCTGCGCAGCGTGTTTGGCGAGAGGTCCCTCTCTAGGCCATCTAGTAAAAATTCTAGGATCTTGGGAATTGTGATCCCTTCGAGTAACAATTCCTGTTTAGAGCACCATGATTGGAAGCTTCTCCACGTGGCCTCGTAGATACGGTTCGTGGAGGGGCGCCTTGATGCCTGTATGACCCTAATTACACCCTGTGAGCAAGCCCCCTTGGCTAAAATTGACCGTTCAAGAGCCAGACGGCTAGTTGTAGCCATTGTGGCTCTGGGTGGGAGATCTCCCCCTGCTTGAGGGAGATCCTCTCCGGAGGAATCCGCCATGGATTCGTGCGGGAGAGACTCCTCAAGTCTGCGAACCAAGGTCTCCTTGGCCAATAAGGGGCCACAAGGATTACCTCGGCCC